TTTATTTATGAGTAAGAATCTATTTACACACAAATTTTATACATTACATTTATATAAAATTTTAATCATTCATCTTTTTATTTTTAATGGTTAAGTTTTATCATAACTTTTTAAATAAAAAAATTATCTTTAATAAATATAATAAAAATGAATATATCTTAACCATTAAAAATAAAAAAATAAATAATTAAAATTTTACGTAAATATGATGCGTAATACTTGTATATAAATAGATCTCTAGTATTTTATAATTAAAATCTTTTATAAAACTTAGTAAATTACTCCCAATCTCTTTATTACTTGAGTCCCTTTAAGAGTATATATGAAATTTTATCATAATAATTGTGTTTTTATAATGAAATCTGATAATTTTTTTAAGTGTAAAATAAGAAAAAATGTGACAAAGTTCTATCAATATGGTTTTGGTTTTGGTTTTTATAAATTTTGTAATTCAAACAAAAGACTCATTAACTTTCATATATTTTTATAAATTATTATCATAATTATTAAAGAAATAAGAATAAAAATAATTTTAATACTATTAAACAAGTTTCTTTTTTTTATTACCGAATCTTACTTGAAAGAAATTGTTAATTTTTTAATTTTAATTTTGATTTTTAAAAATTACAAAATTTATTAAAAAAATAAAACTAAAAATCAAAATCATGTTAAGCATAACCTAAATTATTGCGGAGGGAGCATAACAAAAGACAAAAAGAAATGAAATTTTAAGCTTTCAGTTGATTACCTTAATTCAAGTTAACAAATAATACTCCAGTATTTTTTTAATCTAATAATGCATTTTAGAACCAGTGCAGCGTCTAATGACCGAAAAAGGTGGACTTCAAGAGAGAAAGCTTTACTGGAACTTGAAATCTAAAAATGCATCCCAACATGCAGTGTTTCTACAGACTGTACCTTGCTGATCGAGAAAAGAGGACATTGAATTTGAATTTCAAGTTGAACATCTCCTTCGATTCTTTGGACACTTGGAAATTCCGAAGCAAATACCTGCACTTGCTCGCATTCAGAAACTTCTAATAATTTCAGAGATGGGCATTTAATATGCATTCGATGGCAGAAACCCTTGAGCTTGGGTAGCCTGTCAAGCCTCAGTTCTGTCAACTCCGAAAATACGACCTTGGTGTTAGTTTCCACCAACGTTGGCTGAGTGGCTACCAGAGCTTGTGAATGGCTAGCACTGGGTGCTTCAACTATTTCTTCTAGTGAATCACATCCGAGAATACACAGTTCGTCTAGTCTCTGAAGTCTTTCCAGCATACTAAATGGGAGAATGGTCACTAGCATTTCACAGCGACCTATACCAATGGTTTTTAGTTTGCCAAAGGAATCCCCGTCAAGTCGATCAGCCCATATCTTGTTCAAACTCTCCATCCAATAGATGATTAGGTCCTCTATTTGAGGGAATGTTACCTACAGATTTTATTAGATTGCATTAATAGCTAAACAGTCTGAATGAGATAGGATAGACATAATAGAGATGATAGAAACCCAACTTTAGAATTAAAATGGAAAGGCTGTATTATAAGACACGAATAACTGTAAATCAAAGGAAAAACGATAGGAAGAATCACCTTTTCATTGAAGAAAGGTGGCGCATAGGTGTTTTCTGCTTTCTCACTACTGACTGCAATGTCTTCAATAACAGGACTAAATGTCTTCAACATAGGGCATTTGCCTATTTGAAGTCGTGTAAGCTTAGGGAATTCAATGCAATTTTCAGGACAGAATCTTGTGAGTTTCGAAAGGCCTTCAAGTACCAGGGCTTGCAAATTAGGGAACAATATCTTGTTCCTCCTTTCTTCTTCTGTTAATCCTTCTGCCACTATTACCCCTTCCATCATCTTGCAGTTTTGAATTGTCAGTGATTCAAGATGCTCAAAACTTTTAACTGTAGAGCATGTCAATAGATATCTCAAATTATCACAGCCATCCACAGTCAATTCTTTTAGTTTTCAAACAAAAGAAGGCATTTCCAGAACCCGGCTGTGCCAAATTTGCTCTTTGTTAAGAGACATAATTAAGAACTCCAAGCTGGTAAACTTAATCTGCAAAGAGATTCTATTCAATTAAAAACTTTTTTTTTCTTTAATCGAAAGTAAACAACTATCAGCTGCAATGACACCTCAGTTTTATCAATTAACTAAACCAAGAACATGAGATTTAATGAAAAACCAGCAACATGAAAATGACATGTGCATACATCTATGGAGTGACAGTACTCAACTCCCTGTGCTCTTTTGTAATATTGTCAAAATATTGTATCAAAGCAAAGAATAGTCAATAGGAAAAAAGGTCAATAGCTTCTCACAAAACCATTTCTCAATGATCTTAGTTTGCCAAGAAAGGAACGAATAGAGAGTTTTCCATGGCATAAGATCTGGAAGTTTTTCAAGTAGGAGATAGACAGGCCTCCAAGCTGGAAATGAAATGCAAACTACAAAATTCATCATCACAGGGAAAGGATAAGGACAATAATTATTTCCAAAGTTAGAAGGGAGAAGGCATTGAAATGAAGAGAACTTACCTGTTCATTGAAGAGAGGCTTTATGTCAGTGGCTATATCTGTACTCATAGATTTAACCGTGAACTCCTTCAATTTTGGACAGTTTTTTATGGTCAATTGCTTCAAGGATGGGAATGCCATGATGCAATTTCCTGGGTAGATTCCGATAAGGTTTTGAAGGTTTTCTATTTGCAAGAAATCCAACTCGGGGAAGGAAATCTCCATTTCTTCCACATTCTCTGTCACAATAATCTCTCTCATATTCTTGCATTGATTTATTGTGACGTGTCTAAGCTTCACCAGACCTCTAGCCATAGAGGATGTGAATAAGTGTTCTAAATTATCACAACCCTCAATAATAAGTTCTGTAAGGTTTTGAGTGGAGTAAGATGCAGCTGAAGTATGCCACATGGTTGTAATTTTAATCCATGATAGTAGCAACTTCTTCAAGTATGGAAACACAAACTGCACAACATGAGTAAATCTTTTCATTCTGACCAAGATAAGAAAAAGAAACATAGATTTTAGTTATGATTAATTAACCCAATGACAAGAAATGCAACAATAGATTATGGCCCCTTAGTTTCAGAGAAATTTATTGATTATGGCCTCTTAGTCTCTTTAATCTCATATTATTAGCATTTACTTCTTAACTTTTTTTAATCAGCAACGTTTACTTCCAATTTAGATTTTAAAGTTAAATCTGGTATGACTTAGGAGAAAACTAGTAATTTTATGGTTGTTGTAAATTAGCGTTTAAACAAGTTTCAATATGTTTCCTACTCTTATTCATAATAGAAGTATAGCATGTCTTTTATTAAAGGGGAAAAAAGGGAAAGAATGAATTAATAAATACCTTCTCACTGAAGAGTGGAACATGACTCAAGCTTGTATCATTTTCTTGGCTGAAGCTAATGAACTTCGGTAGATTTTTTAGTGCCAAGGTATTCAATCGGCCAAGCTCAACCATTTCATCAGTTGCTTCAACAATATCCCCAACTTCCTCTTTCCCTTCTTCATCAACAATCTTTACCATGTTTCTACAATCTCTTACTGCAATTGCTTCAAGTTGGAAAAGCTGTCTTGCTGTTGAGAATGAGAACAACTTCTTCAGCTGATTACAACAGTCAACATTTACTATTTTTAACCTGCAAAAAGATGATGTTCTGAGCTGGTCATAACATATCTTCTCCAAATTAACCAAATTGCGAATACATAAGAATTCCAAGATTGGAAATGCATTGCAAGGCCTCGCCGACTTCATGATGATACATTGAATATCTGGAGCATTGTGAATATGAAGATACTTCAATTCTTGAAAACCTTCACTATCTAACTCATAAAGTATGTTTTTAACGCCCTTCAACTCCTCTAGATGTAGCTCTTCAGACATCTTCAACAACTGTTTAAGTGAAGAGTCAAAACGTATGGATGCCCTCAGCTGCAGCTTCAATATTGTTGAGCTTTCAGGAGAACTATCCCAATTGTTCCAAGCATCTGCAATGAATATTTTGTATCTTTCTAGCTTTTCAAAAGACAAGTCTTCTGGGATCATCTTAACATCACGAATATGTACCTCCAAAGCAGTCAATTTCTTCAACTGCTTCAGCTCAGCAAGGCTAGCATTTCGTTGATTTTCCTGCTCTTCATGCTCCCATCCGTTGAAGCTGTTTCCCAGGTACAATTCTTCTAATCTGGACATACTTGCCAAGACACGCGGCAGAATAACTTTAAGTTTAGTGCAGCCACTCAAATCTAACAACTTTAACTGAGTCAACTGTCCAATTTCCCTTGGGAGCATTTTAATATCAGACCTCAAAAGGCTTAGAATTTTTAAATTCTTCAGCTCTCCAATAATGCGTAAGTCTCCTAATACGCTGTGATCCAAACATAATGTATAGAGGTTCTTTAGGAGGCAAATTGATGAAGGTAGGGATGGCATTTCCATATGAGTCAAGTCCAATACCTTGAGGCTTTGCTTTCCCTTGAAGAAGGTTGCTGGAATTTTCAGCGAAGGATTTTTATTACACAAACGAAAGAAAGTAAGCTGAGGACTTTCTAACTCATCAGGAAGCTCCTCAATAGTAACATGTTGGAGAGAAAGCCATTCAAAACCTTTCGTTGCCTCCTGATCTGACCACTCTATGGGGAAATGGTCATCTTCTAAGAACAAGCCATGACAATCCCTGCAGGCTATTGATACAGCTACATCACGAATAACATCTTGAACATCAAAGCGGCTACTGTTAGATCCATCGATCAACAAAGAAGAAGCTTTCAGCTTACTTATTAATGTTAATACTTCATCCCATGCATCCTCCATGGTGTTAGATTGTGAGAATAAGCCTAAGCCTACACCATACTTCAACAAGTCTTGAATTGAAGCATTGTGACCCATAAAACTAGAAAGTAAGAAAGTCCGCTTAAGCAAATCACTTTCCAAATGATTGTAACTCACCTCAATAGCAGTATAAACTGCTGCATTTATTCCGAAGAAGTTGCTTGGGGAGGGATGTCTTAGTTTTTGTAGGGCACTCCTCCATTCGTACAAACTCTTATCTTTCAAAGCTTCCGCTAGTGCTGCAATAGCAAGGGGTAACCCCTTACATTCTGTGACAATATCAGTGCTTGTAGGGTGCAACTCACTACTTTCAGCCCTGTCACCAACTATCTTCTTAAACAGTTGCCACGCTTCTTGATCTTTCAATTTGCCAACTGGAATCTCCTTTTGAGTGGCCATGTCAGTTTTCAGGACGTTAAACTCTCTAGAAGACAATAAGATCTTGCATTTCATTTGTTGATCTTCTGTGGATGATGAGCCAGTTTCAAGATTCATTTTCTGCTGGTCTTCAAAGGGAATACCAAGTGCCTCCAAATCTAGTTTGTCCCATATGTCATCCAAAATCACGAGAACCTTCCTCTTTTTCAAAAATCTTGCTCTAAGCCGATCGGCAACACTCCGATGTCCAATCCCAACAGGAAGCTCTAGATCCAAGTCATATGCTATGTCCTCTTGAATTTTTCTGTAGTCTGGTTCTTTCTTTGTTACAGAAACCATAACTACTGCATCAAACAACTTCTCTTGCTCGGTTTTTCTTTTAACTTCTTTGAGCAGCATCGTCTTCCCGATACCTGGCATCCCATGCAGTCCTATTTTGTTGATTCTTGGACTTTTTAATGCCTTCATGATCTCATCCAGTACATCCATTCTCGACTCAAACTCCTGAAAACCCTTGACAGGTGTTGCCAATTCCCGGTGCGGAATAGGAAGGTAGGAAGGTTGAAGATTGAATTCACGAGCTCTTCCTACAAGATCAGCAATATCTTTGGAATCCTTCAGCGCCTTCTTGCTGAGTTTGTAACGAGACAGGGGGTTAAGACACGTCCCAAAGAAACACTTCTTCTTTGCCTTTTCTTCATCATCCTCTATTGTGTTTGCCACTTCAATAAACTCGCCTGCTCCATCCAGCCAATTCTTGAGCTTCTGTACGATCTCTTCCCCTCCTCTTTCAACAGCTAGAGTGTAGTGCTCCACGAGGTCTATTTCTTCCTTGAGCTTAGCAACTTGTTGCTGCAGATTATCAACATTAGCCTTCATCTTGAAGACAAGAATGATCGGATTTAAGGTTACCTTCAAAATTCGACCAACCTCGTTCCCAGCAACATTCCCAAGAGCATTCTGAGCAACACCACAACAAAAGTCAGTCATCTCCTAGAAGAAGGCAACAAAAGTAGAGATACAAAGTGAATGAAAGGGTGAAAACGGTGGAAGTGAAAGGCTAAATCCAAAACTAGAGAGGAAAGAAGTGAACAACTGGAGACAAATTAAAGCCAAATAAATCAATGTTGGAATTGAGGAGAAGGATGTATAATGCAAGAGAAATGATCAAATAAGAGTAGTTTTTTTTTTCTTTTTTTTTTTTTGGTTTTTTTGGTGGACAAGGAAATGAGAGTGCAGGAGAATGCGCAGCAGCGAGGGAACGTAAAGAGCGAAAGTACAAACAGGAGTTCGGATACTGGAAATCTCCATTTGAAGTTCTTAAATACCCATCACCAAGTCTTCCAGAAAAAGAAACCCCTCCCAAAAAAAAAAAGGCAAAAATATGACATAAGGACCCGAACTTACACCAAATTCGCAATTTCGGACCCAAACTTTGATTACGCTCAATGAAGGTCCCGAACTCCACCAAATTCTCAAATAAGGACCCAATTGGACGGAAAATTAACTTCCGTTAAATATCTTGTTATTCCGTTAATGTTCCGTCACACTTCACACCCGCCACTTGAAAAAAATTGATTAAATGCTAATTTTGGTCCCTCAACTTCATTAAATTGCATTTTTTTGTCCCTCAACTTCATTTAAATTTCACTTTTTGTCCCTTAATTTGATTAAATTGCACTTTCTTATCCTTCAACTTTATTAAGTTATACTTTTTTGGTCTTTAAACTATTTTTTGCACTTTTTTGGTTATTAAACTATTTTTTGCACTTTTTTTATCCTTTAACTTTAACAACTGTACAATTTTGATACTTTCATCAGTTTAAACCATTAACTTCATTCATGTGGTATTTTTAATATTTTTTTGATGACATGTATAATCTAATTGGAAAAAAATAATAACATAAATTATCTAATTAGAAATAATGATGACAT